TTTAATACCATCCATTACAATAACCCTCTTGTAACCTACTATGCAGCTGAGTGATATCTATTTACCACTTTTTTTATCCTAACATTTTTTTTTCATACTGTAGGTGTTAAAAGTGTATTAGTTGCTCTWATGGCCGCTAAAGCTGAAGTACAATATGATTCTGCATTAGTACAACCAGAAGATGTGGCTAATTCAGTTACTGATTTAGGCTTTCCTTGTAATGTTTTAGCTGACACAAATTCACGTATTACTCAAACTGAATTTAGAGTAAATATTTGTTTATTTTCACCTATAGATTATTACTTAATAAAATTTCATTGCAAAATATTTTTATATTTGAATGATGATTTAAGATCAAATTTAAATCTAACTCATACATTCTTAATAATTMATTTTATTTTAATAAGATAATATGTATTTTATTAGATTGGTGGTATGACGTGTTCATCTTGTGTAAACAAAATTGAATCAAATTTAATGAAACTGAAAGGAGTTCAAACAGCTATAGTTGCACTCACAACTCAGAAAGGGGTAATTACTTACGATTGTGATCTAATTAGTCCACGAGATATTGCTGACCATATTGTTGGTCTAGGATTTACTGCTGACTTGGTGAACAATAAAGATAGGGGAGATCGAAGTTATTTGAATCATAGGTATACTTTTTATTTGACTAATATTTCATCTATAAAATGTAATTTTGTAATTTTGTTTTAGTGAAGAAATAAAAAAATGGCGTAATTCATTTTTTGTRTCATTACTGTTTGGTGGTCCATGCATGATTGCTATGATTTATTTTATGATGGGTATGACATTTAACTTAATTGATCATTCTTCTATGTGTTGTGTGATTCCTGGGCTTTCGCTTGAAAATTTGATTATGTTTCTTTTATCTACTCCAGTTCAGGTATTTATCAAAACAAATATGCATATTATAATGATAAAATATTAATTTTGTAGTAAAATGTAAATATAGTTTATTGGAGGTTGGCATTTTCATGTACAAGCTTGGAAAGCTGTACGTCATTATACAACCAATATGGATGTTCTTGTATCAGTAGCCACTAGCATTTCTTATGTATACTCAGTCATTGTTGTTCTTATTGCAATCACTGAAACGCCAGCTAAACATACTAGTCCAATGACTTTCTTTGATACACCACCTATGCTATTTGTGTTTATATCCCTTGGTCGATGGATGGAACATATTGCTAAAGTAATAATTGGTCATTGAATATAAAAAAAAAAATTACAATCTTACATAATTTTAGGGTAAAACATCTGAAGCCCTCTCTAAATTATTATCCTTAAAAGCTACGGATGCTCTGTTGGTGACAATTACTGATGACTTTAAAATATTAACTGAAAAAGAAATCAATGTTGACCTTGTTAAACGAGGAGATATCCTTAAGGTATTATACAATTTAGAAATAAAAAATGGTTCTATCTTACATATTTTATTTTTATTTATGATCTAATTAGGTATTACCTAACACAAAAGTTCCAGTTGATGGAAAAGTTATTCATGGGCGATCAGCGTGTGATGAGTCTTTGATTACTGGAGAGTCTATGCCAGTGAACAAAAAGCCAAGTAAATAAAAATAAAATATTTTATCACAACATCCTAAGAAAATAATATAAGATAATATTTTATAGGTAGCTTAATAATAGGAGGTTCATTAAATCAGACAGCTCCTCTACTTATGGTTGCTACGTATACAGGAGAAGCAACTATGTTAGCTCAGATTGTACGACTAGTAGAGCAAGCTCAAACATCTAAAGCTCCAATTCAACAGTTTGCTGATCGTATTGCTGGTTATTTTGTTCCTGCCGTAGTAGCAATATCTACTATCACACTTGTATCGTGGCTTTTCATTGGTCGCTATTATACTAAATATCTACCTATTTCTGTAAAGTYAAATACTYTGTTGTAATTTTAAACATGCTGTACTAATTCTTATTTTTATAAAGGACGACGAAAAATATGGTCCAGATGGATGGGAAAATGCTATTCAATACTCATTTAGATGTGCATTGAGTGTTCTGGCCATTGCTTGTCCATGTGCACTTGGTTTGGCCACTCCAACAGCTGTTATGGTTGGAACTGGTATTGGTGCTCTTAACGGTATACTGATAAAAGGTGCTGACGCATTAGAAAATGCTCATAAAGTAAGATTCAAAGTTTTAAAGTTATACTTAACATTTTATTTTCCTTATGATAAATTAATATCCCTTTAGGTCAAATATGTTGTGTTTGATAAAACTGGTACTATTACATACGGAAAGCCCACTGTATCAAGGATTTGTCTATTTGTAGACGACATGATCTGTTCGCTCAGTCTATTATTATCCATAGTTGCTAACGCTGAAATTAGTAGTGAACATCCTTTAGCTTCTGGTAATTATTAAAACATGTTATTCAATATTTTTGCACAACACAAATATCTGTTCAACTCTTTAGCTCTGGTGAAATTTATAAAAGAAGTATTTAAATGTGAGATATCTGGAAAATGTGAACGTTTTCAATCTGTTGCTGGGTGCGGTATTAAGTGTGTTGTCTCTCATATTGATGACTTATTCAAAAATGGAACTAAATCCGATTTCATTATGAACTACCAAAACCATTTAAGGTTGTAATTCCACAGTGTTTACTCAAGAATTTTTTGTTAACCCTTTTTGTATCATAATTTATAGAAGTGGAACGAATGAATCATCATTTGAATATAACAACATAATTGTTGAACTGGTTTTAGGAAAACCACCTACTCAAGTTCAATCAATGCAATTACATAAATTTTTAGATATTAATGAAGAGAAAAAACCAAATGAAACCAAATATGAAGTAAAAAAAAATCATATATAAATAAATAT